CACAAAGCTTTATCAATGGAGAAGGAAGGATGCGAGATCGAAGCTTTAAATATTGATTACAACATCTTTGTACGGAAAATTAATGCTAATCCTTTCGGAATCTTTACACGGAAACCGCAACAGGAAGCTGACCAGCCGGTTCAGACAGAAGAAGAGTCACGGAAGCTCGAGCAAGGAACCTGCAACAAAGGCAAGCATGTACTAAAAGGAGTGACCTGCAGAGCCAAACCTTGGGAGATTCTGGCCATTGTTGGTCCAAGTGGTGCAGGGAAGTCTTCTTTGCTTGAAATTTTAGCTGCTAGACTCCTTCCTCAAACCGGCTCGGTTTTGGTCAACCAGAGACCGGTTGATAGAGCCAACTTCAAGAAAATCTCTGGCTATGTGACTCAGAAGGACACTCTGTTTCCTTTGCTCACGGTGGAGGAAACCCTTATGTTCAGTGCCAAGCTACGTTTAAAGCTCTCTGGAGACGAGCTGAGATCACGGGTTAAGTCGTTGGTCCATGAGCTTGGGCTGGAAGCTGTTGCCGAAGCTCGTGTTGGCGATGATAACATCAGAGGGATTTCGGGTGGAGAGAGACGCCGTGTTTCTATAGGAGTTGAAGTTATTCACGACCCCAAAGTTCTGATCCTTGATGAGCCAACCTCTGGGCTTGATAGTACTTCAGCTCTGCAGATTATAGACATGCTCAAGCTCATGGCTGAAACACGGGGTCGGACCATAATTCTGACTATCCACCAACCAGGCTTTCGTATAGTCAAACTGTTTAATTCTGTCCTTTTGTTGGCAAATGGCTCGACCTTGAAGCAGGGCTCGGTGGATCAGCTTGGCGTGTACTTAAGGTCAAATGGTTTGCACCCTCCTCTCCATGTAAACCTCGTTGAATTCGCCATTGAGTCAATCGAAGCCATCACAAGGCAGCAACGGCTACAGCAAAGCAGAAGAGTAGCTCATGTCCTAACATCACAAACAACATTACAAGAGAAGAGATCAGAAGATAGTCAAGGGGAGAGCAGAAGTGGCAAATTCACGCTACAACAGCTGTTTCAACAATCAAGGGTTGCTGATGTAGGAACGATAAACATAGGGACGGAATTCACCAGAAATTTTGCAAATTCGAGACTAGAAGAAACTATGATTCTGACCCATAGATTCTCCAAGAACATTTTCAGAACCAAGGAGCTGTTTGCGTGCAGGGCAATTCAGATGTTAGGTTCAGGAATTGTTCTTGGTCTGATTTTCCATAATCTTAAAGACGATATAAAAGGTGCACGAGAAAGGGTCGGCCTCTTTGCTTTCATATTGACCTTCCTGCTAACTTCAACAATAGAGGCTCTCCCTATATTTCTGCAAGAAAGAGAGATTCTGATGAAGGAGACCTCCAGTGGAAGCTACAGAGTGTCGTCATATGCTGTCGCTAATGGACTTGTGTACTTGCCATTTCTGCTCATCCTAGCTATTCTATTCACAATCCCAGTGTACTGGCTGGTGGGACTGAACCCTAATTTCATGGCATTTCTGCACTTTTTACTCCTAATTTGGTTGGTTCTCTACACAGCAAACTCAGTGGTTGTGTGCTTTAGTGCACTGGTTCCTAATTTCATTGTTGGAAACTCAGTGATTTCTGGTGTGATGGGTTCCTTCTTTCTGTTCTCGGGCTACTTCATATCGAAGCATGAGATCCCTGGTTACTGGATTTTCATGCACTACATCTCTTTGTTCAAGTACCCCTTTGAAGGATTTCTGATAAACGAGTTCTCCAAGTCAAGCAAGTGTTTGGAGTATGGTTTCGAAAAATGTTTGATGACCGAAGAGGATCTGCTAAAAGAAGAAAGGTATGGAGAGGAAAATAGATGGAAAAATGTTGTGATCATGCTATGTTTTGTCTTGATCTACAGGTTCATTTCCTATGTGATTCTGAGGTGTAGATGTTCCCAAAGAAGTTTCAAAACCACTCGTGTTTGAAGATGTGATAACAATGATGTCTTTCCGAAAATCATCGGGTTACAAGTTTATTCACATTTTTAATTATTTATTTCGTACAGCAGCCTAAGATGTGAAAGAAACTGTTGTTTATGCAAAAGGAATTTTCCATTGATTCTATCGTCTCTCAGTTACTACCTGTTTCTATTTCCTTAAGTTTTCACGAAAAAAAACAAAAAGAATAGATTTTTAACATATTCAACTAGAGAACTTACATGGTATTGTCCCAAAGACGAGTAGATGAATAATCCATTTCCTCAGTCAAGAGTGATCCTGTTTCGGCATGATCTTGTTCCTGTCTCATCTCTGCTCTTAGAATATCAAGAAGCGAGTGTATCTGCCTTTTTCGAGGATGTCTTTTATCTTTTACCATGAAAACATGCACATGTCCTTGTATATCTATCCAACTACATCCTGGCTGCTTTCTGACTCCCTCCTTCTTCATCAACTTTCGTACATCTATCACATCCCCCCATTGTCTGAGCTCAGCGTACATGTTAGAAAGAAGAACATATGGTCCTGAATTTGACGTCTCTACTCCTAGAAGCTTCTCCGCAACGTATTTACCTAACGTGATGTTCCTATGAACTTTACAAGCACCAAGCAAAGAACCCCATATAACAGAATCCGGTTGCATAGGCATCTCCTCAATCATGCCCTTTGCTTCTTCGAGAAATCCAGCTCGGCCAAGCAAATCGACCATGCACGTATAGTGATCCCTACACGGAGCCACACCAAAATCTTTAGTCATGGAAGAAAAGTAATGCCGTCCTTCGTCAACAAATCCAGCATGTCCGCACGCAGAAAGAACACCAATCATGGTGATGTAATCCGGTTTTTCTCCAGAATCAAGCATTTCTCTAAACAACTCAAGAGCCTCATGTCCATAACCATTTTGTGCAAATCCAATAATCATTGTGTTCCAGGAGACGCAATCTCTTTCCATCATTTTCCTAAATACAAGATAACCATCTTCTACACAGCCACATTTTACATACATATCTATCAAGGAATTGCCAACAAATATATCAGCTTCTTCACCAGATTGAAACTTAAACCCATGCTTCAAGACATGCACGTGAGCCTGCATGCCGAGATGTAATTCTGCAAGATCTGCACATGCCTTGAGGATATTTGCAAAGGTATAGTGTGTTGGGCATACTGATTCCCTCTTCAATAGACAAAAGAGATTAAGTGCTTCTTCGTTTTCCCCATTTTGCGTATAGCCAGAAATAAGCGCATTCCACGAAACAATATTCCTCTCGGTCATCTTGGTGAACATGAGTCTAGCTGCCTTAGTGCTCGCAGCCATTGCGTATCCACTGATCATGGAGGTTTCTGCGATTATATTTCTGATAGGCATGTTATCAAATATGAACCTAGCTTCTTTTATTCTGCTGCACTTTGCATACATATCCACAAAAGCATTGCTTAGAATGATGTCGATCCTTAACTTATCGATTTTAGCAACTCGGCCACGGATTACCTGACCAAACTTAATTGCTGACAAGCTTGCACATGCACTAATCACACTTGCTAATGTAACCTCATCCGGCTCAACATTAGATTTTAACATCGCATGGAAAACCTTGAGAGCTTCCACCGCAGGACCATTTTGTTCGTAACATGTAATCAAACTATTCCAAGAGACAACATTTCTACTACCCATCTCATCAAAAACCTGCTGAGCATCATTAACGTTTCCGCATTTGGAATACATGTCAACAAGAGCAGAACCTATATGAACATCTGACAACAAACCAGGAGATTTCGCAATCAAAGAATGTATTTGTGCACCTCTATTCATATCATTTAAACCGGAACAAGCGCTGAGACCACTGGCAAAAGTATATTCATTGGGCACAAAGCCTTCCTTATGCATCATAGCAAAATATTGCAAAGCTTCTTCACACCTATCGTGCTGGGCAAATCCCGAAACCATGGAATTCCAAGTACACTGATCACGTTTAAGCATTGAACGGAACAGAGAATCAGCTTCATCCAGAAAGCCTAACTTGGCCAAAGCCGTCACAAAAGAGTTCCAAGTGTAAACATTTCGCTCAGGCATTTTGTCGAACACCCGGCGTCCATCCTCGAGTGACCCACATTTCGCATAAGCGTCGATGAGCCGATTATGTATGTAGACCTCGTCGAAGAACGGGGATTTGATAATAGAAGCATGGACACTACGGACATGGGTTGCGGACAACTTGGATCGGATGCACGAATCCAGAAGCTTAGAAAATTGTGAAGAATCCGTGAAAGAGAAATCACCAACGAGTTTCAGAAACGATTGCCTCGCCATTCCATTATTGTTGGAGAAATTCTCAAACGGATTCGCAGAACACTGAGCATGAACCTGAGAAAACAAGGTTACACATCAGTGTCTGTGTGTGTTCTAGGATTCTGTTCAAGAACAGAGAAAAGGCGGGTCTTATGGTGGAATCATATGTTCAC